ACTGCTTGGTGGTTTCAACCAACCCCTCTGAAAAATGATGGAGTTCGTCCGTTGGGATGATGAAAAAATGATCCAAAGCACCCAAAGCACCAGAAATGGTGGGCCAACATGATTTCGAATCAACAGAAACTGCGCTTTGACCATGTTTGAGTAGGAAAAAAGAGGGATGCCACAGCCCATGTTCATCAAACTCTGGATGCAACCCATCAAGAAATTTGACACTGACCATCCCAGAGAGTGTCAAACTTGGCCAACTGCTAAATTAAATCTTCAACTAGCCCATTATAATAAGTCTCGGGCTTGGGGTTTATTGGGCCCAATTCTCCAACGTCGGTCTCTGGTAAGAATCCCCAGTCGGTTTACTTCCATTTTCTTGGTTTGATCCTCATGTTTACTAAAAATCTGATTCTCATTGATTACAGTACATCCCGAGTTTGGTCAGAAGCAAACAAAAAAATCCCCAGTCAGCTTGAAATCCATCTTAGTTCATTGGTAACATCCGACTTTTGTTGCTCAACTCCCCTGTTCTTCTTGGATTTTCTGGATCCTTCCTGTTTTCTGCCCAGGGTCGAATCGTCTTCTTCCAGCTCCTGCCATGGCCAAGGCCAATCAGGTGGTCAAAACCTAGGATTTTCCAACATGGGGGGAAGAACATCGAGCCATAACAGCGTGAAATCCCATTAGAACCCGATTGTTTCATCCCAAGTCTATGAGTCGTTGGGGATCATCGTGAAACATTTCTACAGTTGAAATTCATCAAATAAAAACAAGAAATATGCATGAAACGAACGTAAAATGTCAACCTCAGATGTGTAAACCCTGCATTGTTTAATTGGCTATCAACACTTTGAGGCAACCAACCCAATTAATCAACAAGGCTTAACGTTGATCTGGGGTTGACATTACTCGTGATTTGGTTGATGATAAAATCCCATGGTCAACATATATCAATTATTGATGGTTGATTGGCCATAACCATGTACCATATATAAACAATTGATAGTTAATTTACCATATGCAAACAATCGATGGTTGACGGTCTCAACATATACCCTCTGGTTATTTAACATAGCTATGGAAAATGGACCATTTAAATCATTTACAGATGATTTTCCCGGCTAGAAACCTCCATATTTATCTCATGGATTTGCCAGTTCGCTATGTTAAATCACCAGATGGTAACACATACCCTCTGGTAAACTAACATAGCTATTGAAAATGGCCATTTATAGTGAGTTTTCCCATTAAAAATGGTGATTTTCCATAGTTACGTTAGTTTACCAGAGGGTATCAAGTTCAGGTCCCACTCGTGGATGGCGCAGGACTTAGAAAATTTCATGCTTTTAAAGTGCACCTCGTGGGCGGCGGACTCATCTTGGAAGTTCCAGAAATGAGCTCCGACCTGGGGACGTTCGACGAAGGTTCCTTTTTTTCACGGAAAAATGGTGGGAAAATGGAATGGATTGGTTTTTGCGGGAAAATCGAAACCGGAAAGCCCCATGATCTTCATGGGAAAATCGGATTGGTTTTCCGGTGAAAATTTTCCCAACAAAACCAATCCAATCAAAAATGGAATGGAAAAGATTGAGAAAGTGGATGAAAGTGGGAAAAAGATTGGGTGAAAATCTTAGAGGTGATTACCCCACTGGGTTGAATCATCCAGCGTCTGGGATAGATTCAGGCAACCAAACGCGAATTGACGTACTTGAGATATCTTGAGATCTGTGTTTTTTCCGAAAATACACGAACTCACTTCCAACGGACCATCATTGTTCCTATCAACATCGTAGTATGTGGGTGTCAATTTTAAAAAAAAAACTAACACCTCTCAATCTTAATATTATGTAAATGGGGCAAGGGGGTCGCTCAGCTGCCCACTTGCTCTTCAATAAAGTGCAATGAAATGTGTTTTTTCTGTAAAGGGCTTCTGAACCACCAAGAACCACAAAAAATATGTTCGTTTCGGATGGTCTTGCTATCTGGGCTTGTCACATTGGTTTGAAAAAGCCATGAATCGGTGGAAATCCCCTGGCAATGGCGGTTTCAATGGCAAGAATCATCTAAAATCATCGGTGGATGTGAAAAATGGCTACAATGTGAGGCCCCCAAGATATAAGTTGGTTTAGATTCGCCCCAGTAACTAGTTCGTTATTTGCGTACCATAAACCATAGTTTGACTGCTGGAGGGTAAGCTGACTTCGGGGTGCTTCCCCATAGACTGCGTCTCCCCATTCGGCGTACCCAGCGGCTGGCCGTTTCTCATGGTTGAAACCCACCGTTTTTTAAGGGGTCACGGGGCGTCATCACCAGCCAGATTCGCAGTCCAAAACGAAAAAACCTGGATACCCATGGCCATGTGGGGAGGTTGGGAAAGATGATTGTCCTATTGAACATGGCCATATATAATAATATATATAATATATAATATAATATAATATAATATAATGTAATATAATATAATATAATATAAATATATATTACAGTATATAGTGTGTATATATATATATGTCTATATATATATTACAGTATACATATATATATATATATATATTACAGTATATATACATATATTACAGTATATATATAATGTAGGTTCCAGGTGCAAATTCAGTGAGTGTATATTTTTTGGTCCTCAACAGCGCGTCCAGCAACTTTACCTGAGCCATCTCATAACAAATACAGGTTTGAAACGGTGTCCCGATCATACGGGCCATCATAATCTCTAAGAACCAGTGTAGTTGGTAGAACTCCACAATTTTCATGGCTATAACTTTCTCTGCCCAGTTGGTATAACTCCAGTTGGTATCATAATCTCTACTACCCAGTTGGTAGAACTCCTTATTTCATAAGCAATCAACCAAGCAGTTGGTATCCAGTTGGTATAACTCCTTAATTTCATCAGCAACCAGGCCATAACTTTCATGGCTCACCTCTGCCCACACGCCGGTTTTGGTCCGGACATGATTGGCGAAGTGACCCACTTGCAAGGTGATCACCTCCCGCAATGGACATGGCCAAAGTGAGTGGTCCCCTATCGGTGGTGAAGGTTTCCGCAGAAATTTGAAATCCCAAGTCCACGACCCCAACTACTTTGGTCTTCCGCTAATTTCGTCGGTAACTCATATATCATATAATCTTAGAATATCTTATATAAATGGAGAACGTGCAAGTAGAATGCAAGCTGATCCGCCAAATGATATTTTGTGGCTAAACAACCTCAAAATTTTCGGACGAATCACCAATGTCGGGTCTCCAAGCACTCGGAGTCTCGACCCTGTGCCCAGTTGCAAACTGAAGAAAGTAGCATTGACAGTGATTTTTTTTTTCCTGCTTGGTGGTTGACCTACCCATCTTGAAAAATGATGGAGTATTCGTCAATGGGAAGGATAACATCTCATATATGACATGGAAAATAATACAGTAAATGTTCCAAACCACCAAGCAGATGATATTTGATGTCAATGTCAATGTCAATTTCATGTCTCTTATGATGGTCGAGCATCCTCCCAACCAAAATTCTCTTCATCGTACCTCCATCCTGTGGCAGAGCGTCCGGTCCGGATCTGTTGGGTCGTCATTGGGTCATGCGGTCAGGCTGTTTTTTCGTGGTGCCAGAGATCTCGTTTTCATGCTCTCCTAGCCGCACTCTGAAGCGGAGAGATACCTCTTTTTTAGAGGAAAACGGAACCAAGCAAGTGGACAAGTGTACACTGCAAAAGCAGAGTTGTTCTTTCTGGGATACTCAGGAATGGACAAAAACAAACACTCTGAGATTGCTGAAAAGTCTGGCTGAATTGTGGGATGGGGGATAGCCATGAAACTACCAAGGAGATAGTTTTGGGGTCACTTCATCATTCATTGATTCGTTTAAAACTCATCGGCCTATGTGATCCTACATGAAAAAACCCGTCAGGGTTTGTCTGCGAGCCAAACTGCCTGGCGTGTCATTTTGATGAGGACTGAGAGGAGCCCCCAAAAAAAAGGTGATCCCTTCCCCTAAGGTGGCAAATAAAGTACATACCCTCTGGTAAACTGACACTTTGCTATGGTTGCTATGGAAAATCTCCATGTTAATAGCATTATCAACTGTCAAGAGTCAAGGGGGGCAATTTTAAATAGCTATGTTAAATTACCAGAGGAACCCTTTGGAAAGACTGGTTGTGTATTGGATCCATTGGAATAGGTTTAACGAGGGGCTTTTCTTACTCCCAGTAGATTCCTCATTTTTGTTGGATGAAACCCTGTGACAGTCTGTGACAATATAAATACCCTCTGGTAAAGTAACGTAACTATGGAAAATCACAATTTTTAATGGGAAAATCAACTATTTCTATGGCCATTTTCAATAGCTATGTTAGTTTACCAGAGGGTAACTCAATTCCACGATCCTGTTGAATGCCTGGAAAATCCTTGCTTGCGCCCATTTGATTTCAGGCTATCGGGCTATCGTTTCATTCCGGGAGATTCCGTCTTGGCTCGGAAATTCCAAGACTTGGTTGGACCCTCTTTTCCGTTGTTGGAGTCTACAGCTACGTTCAGTCCATGGCATGATCCAACGCAAAACATCCTCCGTCGGCGGGATGCTCCACCTGTTTCCATCAATGTCATGGCTCAGGTGGCTTAGGGCCCTTAGGGTTTGGTGTTTTCAGTTGGGTCTACTGATAGGTATGACCATAGCTACAGTATATCATCCCCCATAAGTTGAAATGTCAACCCGAGCCGAGCCCAGGGTTCATTGGGTTGCTATCCCCTCTGATTAATGTTACACTTTGCGAACTGAAGAAACTCACCCAATTTATACTAGGTAAATCGTGGTGAAACATCTATCTATATAATTAGTATATATATAGAGAGAGAGAGATAGATATAGATAGAGACATAGCTATAGATAGATTTGCGTATTTATATTTATATATATGTGTGTGTGGTGCATGTTCCCATAGCAAACTGTCACATCACCAAAGGATACCAACGATGATTCCAACGTGCAGTTCTTTTCGCTACAACGTGAAGCCATCCTGGCGTAGCGGATCTGGGATCTGGGAATGTCCAAAAAATTGGCAAAAACGAGGTGAAACTAACGGTTTGCCATGGAAAATCACCATCTTTAGTAGGTAAATCAACGAACTTTCTATGTGCCATTTGAATAATAATAGTAATAATAATCGTCTAATGTGTATATGGAGGTTTCCTAAAATGGAGGTACCCCAAATGGATGACTTGTGATGGAAAATCCTACCGAAATTGATGATTTGGAGGTACCCCCCCTATTTGTTGGAAACCTCCATATCTGGTCAAATGCTTCTCCAAACATCCAAACATGCTTGGGAAATCCATGGAAATCGATGGAAATCGTACATGAAAAAACCCTGAAAGTCCCCAGGCAGTGGTGAACCTGGCACCCTCAAAACAACAGATGTTGGTCATTCAGCGCAGAAAAAAAAACTTATCCGTGACCAATCGATTTTGATCATCTTTTGGCTTGCCGAATTTGGAACTCTACCAGTGTGTGACCTTCGCCTTAGCCACGGTCGTATTTGCATCGGGGGTATACCCAGTTTCAGACACACGCAAATATCACATCGTCTATCACCGTATATCCAGATTATATCTCATTATGCCTGTAAAATGGTGCGTTTGTTTATCCCGATTATATGCCAATCTTCCCGATTATGGAATGTGTGGTATTCCCATTATATCCCTATATTTGCTGCTTAAATCACTATGTTTCTTGGTTCAACCCCCAATATATCTAAATATCATATCGGAAGTTACTCTATCCCAATTCTGCACACATATATCATATATATATAATCCATATGAGGACATATCCCCAGACAATGGTTGCTTTTCAACCTCGGGTCACCAATCCCAATCGCCTGTCCACAGGCTCCGAACGACCTCTTTACATCCTCGCAGGGCTTGGCGATTTTTCCAGCATTTTTTTTTGGGGGGGTTGACCGACCGAACTCGGGATGCATGGCCTTTCAAAAAAGGGGGTATCGTTCGCAGGTCGCCGGTCGTGAAGAAAGGGCCAAATTAGTATATACAAGGTGGTGCCCCCCAAGTTATAAAGGGGTAAACAAATCCCATTAACTATAGATATATCACCAACAAAAACCATAGTTATGGGACTTATTTGCACCAACTTAGCTAACTATGGGGCACCACCCTGTATGTATATATATATGTACATATATATATGTATATATATATCATTTGGCAAAGATCCCCATCTGGTGCACCCCTCAAAATAGTCCTGTCCTGGGAAAATAACTGGGTGATTTTGGGGGTCCTGACCGTCAGACCTTTCTGAGATTAAAATCCTGGTGCCTGACCTTTCTAGCTGGAATTTAGATTCTCAGAGGAATGAAGCTTGGCACTAACTTCCTGATGCCTAAGGTTTCCAGAAAGGCATGTCTTCCCCTCTGTTATCAATTAAATTCCTGGGTGCCAACCCTCATAGAATGCTGAAATAACCACCCCTAACATATGTTGCTGTTGCTAGATTAATTTTCTGGGTTGCAAGGATCACAACTTTAGCAAATAACCCGCGCCTGGAACATCGGACGCATGGATGTAGCATGTGCAAATCGGTGATTTCAAAATTACTAATTTTGGTAGTGGACTCCCAAGAAAAAAAAAACTGCATCACCAGATGGGGATGGCAAAGAGATGTTCATCCACCATTGGTCCGTCAATGGGTGGGTTCTTTGGGAAAATATTGCACTTACCATCTGGTTATTTAACGTAGCTATGGCCCATAGAAATAGATGGTTTACCTATTAAATGGTGATTTTCCATGGCTATGTTAGTCATAACCAGAGGGTAAATTGCCTTTTCATCATGGACGTTTTGAATACATCTTGTGACATACTCACCAACCGAAATGGAGGATATGAACCAGCAAGCATAATGAGGTGGTTGTTTAATTCCAAAATAGGAACAATGGCTCCGTGGCTCTATCATCAGGATAAACCCAAGGGATGTTTAGGGTAGTGCCCAGGGATTATCCTGCCGTTTCAAGAAACATCTGCCCCCACCTCTTCCAAGAAGCCCTGCATCTCATCGTCCTGTCCCACCTAGCCGGCGGCAGGGCGCCATGGGGGTCAACCTTGGCAAAGGATCTATAAGATGGGTCCATGGACAGGTAGAACAGTAGAACCATAGCTATATCATCCCCCATAATATGGAATGTACTTATACCACATTTAGGCCCAGGCTTCACCGGCTTGCTATACCCTCTGCCAATCTGTCACAGTTTGCGGGAAAATCACCATGTTTACTAGGTGAATATCGCTAAATCATCGCAAATGGGCCATGGCTTCAATAGCAAACTGTTAGTCATTGCCAGAGGGCATTTGGCACACCGGTTCAATCCCCATGTTGGTTCTACCCTGGCTGCTCTTTCTGAAACCCATGATGCCCTCCTGTGCAAAAAATGGGTGTCCTCTATGAAGCATCATCAACCCACCCCGTCTATATCTGGATTCATTACAGTAGAACAACTCTCAAACTTGAAAAGTTTGGTAAATAGTTCTCCCGCCTGGTTTTCACCGAGTCATTCTCCTGATTCCAGTGACACCAAGCTGCATGAGGTCATCAGATTTACACATCTTATATGGCTATATATGGCTATGGATCAAAGCCTGGTATGCTTCGCTTCACACCAAATTGACTGGTAAATGGATATTCATTCCACCTAAATACTGTGGCTGTGGATGGAAGAAATCTTGCACCAGTTGATAGGTGGTTTATCCCAGTGTTTATAGGGTTTCAAATGGTTTCAACCATCCTTTTGGTGGTGCAGGATTTCGCAACCATCCACAGTAGGTCAATCTGCCACGCTGTGG